GGCCGGCGGGCGGCGGCGCGCGCCTTGGAGCGTCGCGACGGCCCTGTTGCACCGCAGACCGCGTCCCCTGCCTGCGCCGCCGCCCGCGGCCGCTCCCGGGGCCGAAAATTTTCAAAATTGCTGGCAGATGTATATCTGATAGCGTTTTTTATTGGGTTGTGTAAGTGCGCGCGCAGCCGCTCACGTGCATGCGCGCGATGTTGCCAGATGGGGCTTCCTGGTACCGATTCGGACACCGGGAGAGAAATTTGAGAGGATGGGGGCTTTAAAGGAAAATATGGAAGTAGAGGCGGGAACGAGACATGTTGGGGAAAAATGAGAGACTGGATTGCGGCGGGAGGTGGGAATTTTCTTAGTGGGTTAAAGTAAATGTGGTTGCGGAGTGTGAGATGGTAGAGGCACCGCGATGGCAGGCTTCAGGCGGAACTACAAGGTGTTGTGATTTGAATAGAAGGAAATGAAAACATGCATAATAAGCCCATTTTAATAACTCGAATTAAACAAGGAAAAAATAAAAATTAGTTTTTAATGACAAAAGTAAATAAGCGTACATACTGTATTAGCAAAATATATAAAAAAAATAATAATAACACTCAGACGGATTAACATTTACATCTTAAAACTTAGACGAGAATTTCTTCAATAATCAGTTTGTTGAAAAGTTTTCAATTATTAGTGAACATAAAAATAAACAAATCAGTAAGAAATATCTATTAAAATTGCGAGAACCGATAACGATGCAAAAAGTTTATTTAACTATACTTAGATAACAACACACCTTTTTAGGGAAATTACCTTATTTTGGGAAAAACATTCGTTTTATGTACAAAAATATCAAGTTTCACTTAAATCGTCTAATTTACACACTTGGTGGTCGTACACTCACTCACTATCATAACTCACGATCAAACGAATACTCCAATTCATCATTCTTCCGATTTGACCTAAAAAATTTTTGACATTTCGTTTCAATTACATTATCTCAAACACGTTATTATCCCTGTAACACCAGCTAAACTAAGTTAATCCTATAACATGGCAGCGCCGATCATGGGTTAAAATTTTCGGTTCCATTTTCATCATTATTTAAAGATGAAATAAATGTTGAGTCCGAGATATTTATAAATCCCAAATTTCACTACTTCCATGATATAAGGAGATAATAAATTATTATGATGTGGTGCTTTTGAAAAGAGGAAGTGTCAAACACACATAAAGCTCTTAAAATTTGGCCTGTTACAAGTCCGATCTTGAAGTTTAAACCGCGACCTTGAGATATATAAATACCTTAAGCAGTAATTCAGAATCTGAAAAACATTCTCTTTCCAAAAATAACACACAAAGATTTAATTTCATTAAAAAAGTGGCCGTATTTACTTATAAATTTTCTTATGTATAGTGGGATCGACACAAATCGTTTGCATTAGATGAGTAAGTTGGCTTTTTCATCGATTGATTACAATTTATTCGTCTAATACCAACTTGAAGACGTTTTTTATTGATCACAAGTTACTTTCTAGTGACAGCTTTGAAGTAAAACCATTGTCCTCATTTGTAATTTTGCCGGAAATTTTCATTAGTGCAACTTGTTCAATCTTATCGCACATCGTACATGGGTAAAAATTCAATTTTTGGCGCCAAAATTTCAAATTTTGACAAAGACCCGTTCACAAACCATAATTCACTTTCTCATCGGGCATATGTAAATTGATATGAATGGATTTTACAGACTTTTCACATCTAAATACATAGTCCATTAAAAATTCTACATAAAATTACATTTTTAGTTGAAAAAGTTTCTTTGAAGCAAATTTCAAATTTGTGTCCATTATAATCAGCATTTTGAAATATTCGATTGTCCTTTTGGCATTAAGAAATGTTGTAGATTATACAGGGTGAGTCACTGAGCGTGCGTTCCTCGATATGTCGTTATTTATTAGAAATATAAAAAAAGTCAAAGACCAAAGTTGTACGGTTTTTTGAGAACTACAATCTAAAATTACTTTTAACTGTGTTTTTTAAGACGTTAACACACAACCTGTTCTCTTTTTTAATGAACCATTCTGTATATTTTTACATATGTATTTTGATTGACCTCTTCTTAGACTTTGCAGTCACCGTTTATTTTTGAATTTTCGATGCAATGTTGCCATGTTATTCCAATTTTCTTGATATTTTGGTTATAATGAAAAGGTTTACAAAAAAGCGCAGTCGGGTTGTTTACCATCATACTAAACAAAAATACGAACTTTGTTGTAGTATAAATAAAATTAAATCTTCATATAGAGTGTTTATATAAAAAAATATTTTTTATAATTTTCACAACGGAATTTTAAAATAAATTATGGTTATAAAGCCTAATAAGAATATGTAAAAATGCATATGCTTTTGTGCAGTAGAACTTATCCGTCATTTTTTGACCACCCTGTATAGTTTGAAAAAATATTTGCGTAATACCATACACCATTACTTATAAATGCACATAAACTCAGACAGGCTATCAAAAAATGTAATCTGAACCATCACATAGCAGGTGTTTTGACAAGTTTGACTCAGGCAAAAAAAAATGTTTAGGATTTCATATCAACAAAGAACATTTACTGACGTATACTTGTTAATTTTGATCACCATATTCATTTACAAGAGAAAGGTGTTGTTATCAATATTATCAACAATGAAACAACTGCTTTAAATAAGCGTTATTGTGGGTATCTTCTGGAAAATAAAAAGAAAAAAATCGGTACCACATCATAAATTTGGTTAGAGTGGAGTGTGCAAACAATTAACAGTTAAGTAATCAATTTTACTTGTTGTGCAAAACAGTAATTACACTTATTACCTATTCAATTATAAGGTTTAATTTTAATGTCAAACGCACACACATCAAGGAGCAGCTCAGTAAGTATTTTATTAGAAAAGTAGTGATGCGAATCCTCGTAGGCAATAATTAATCATTGATGAATTATTATTATTATTATTAATAAATGTTTGACCTTGATAATTTCCGATCAACAAAAATAGACGATTTTGGCAAAAAAACATCCTTTGAACAGCCCAAAGAAGAAAAGCACATCGTTACTAGTAAATTTAGAAAAAAAAGGAAACTGTGACCCAAAAAATATTACCCAAGCAAGCTTTGACGTCGTAGAAATAAATGATCACCTATAGATGAACAACGTTCGGAAAGAGTTTAAACATAATCAGTTTGGAAAGAGGACGAATAGAATAATCTAAGCCGAAGCAAAATCTATCTATGAATCTGAAGTACATAAGGAGACTTAGTTGTCAGCTGACAACACCAGAGGTCAAAAAATTTTAGCAGCAGTTCACGTTTGTTTGAAAATAAACTACCTTTAATCTCACATGTTTCAACTTATAAGGAATAATAATGATGAATCTAAATTACAGGGATATTTTTCTCCACTCGACCATTTTGCATACAACTTCAAACGATGTAACAAAAACGTGAATCATCTCGGAAGAATATTGGACTTGTTGGTCTTAATTTAAAATGGTTTTGTCCTCAGGAAGTCCTTGGTGAATCTTCATTGGTCAAATTTAGATGCAATTAACAATGTAAATGTGATGGAACACGTTTTTTTTTTCAGCAACTATTATAAGAATTGTTCATCGTTAAGTTCCTAAAAAGGATCGTTTACGATTTTATCACCGTATCAATTAAAATAATCAAATAAAACCTTCACCTACGATGAAAAAGATAAAAAAAATCCGGTGATAAATAGATTAGATAAAAGAGGTATGTACTGGCCAAAAAAAAAGAAACAAAAAAGGTTAAGTGAAATCAAAATTAGGATAATTTATAAAACAAAAAAATCTGTAGATAGAGTCAAAAGCAAAGACTGCACAACAGAAATCACATCCGTTTGTCGTTAGGTCAGATGTGCCTCAATGGTCAAACCTTGGACCTCTGTTGTTTTATTATTTATAAATGACAATGTGGACAATATTTCGTGTTGCAAGCTATTATTTGCAGACGACTTAATATATGTGCATTTTAACCCAATTTGCGACGTGTGTGATATTAATTTGGATCTTGACAGAACCACAATTTCTAGGTTTTTAGAAAGAAATTCTTCAATTTCATAGATTTGAGTGTATGTGTACATGAATTGATGTAGATTATATTTCCAATAATTGATTGATGCACCCCTCAGGAAATCAATATTATTATTTAGAAATGGTGGTAAGTATAACATTTGATTTCGTCAATATATTGAATTACTAGGATTGTATAAAATAGTTGACTACATTCTGCTAATCAAATTTTCCTAAAGCACAGATAACAATGTGTCAAAGACCAAAGACACTGTTCGTAAAACACCTACTCGAGGCACACAAGGCTCTAATTTAGGGTCTATTCTCTTCAATGTCTTTTTAATGATGTGTTCTTAATTTCTAGTAACATTGGAAATGCAGGTACTTTACAAATTTAATATACTACATCCTCAATAAGAAATTATCTTGTACCATGTTTTTGTATAATTAGTCCGTACGGACATAAACAGCTCTAGATTGCGATCTAAGTGAAAGAGGATTGGAAACATCAGGCTACTTACGCCTGTGGAATGTCAATAAACATTATTATTGTTATTATTTAGTGGACAAATTCTTGTTAAGGAGAGAAATTTTATTCAAATAAGATGGTCACAGATGTTCCGGAAAGGCAGTTTACAGAACAAAGTAAATTATTTATTTTTTATTTGTTTATATTTTTTAAATGTCAATTAAGATGGCAGTCGACATCCTGTATGTACTTCCGTCATGTATATAATTTCGTTAAAAAATCATTTCCGAACAGTTTTCGTGTGTTTATTTACAACAGAGCATCGTTTGACACTCGATAATTCCATTTCGAATCCAACCTCAGCACGTCTGCGCGGCCCGCGAGCCCATCAGCGCGGTGCCTCTAACCTCAGCGTGACAGCGCGAAATGTGGCAACCTCGTGCGCCTACCCTATCACGTAGAGAGGTTATCTCACCTTCTTCATGATGCCAGTCTTCCTCTTCGAGAACGTCGTGTACCGCCTCAGCTTGTTCTCGATGTACTCCATCTTGATCTTGACCCTGCCCTTGGTCTTCTTGCCGTTGCTGGGCGGCGACTTCTTCGGCTGGAGCGAGCCGTAAGCGTCGTCGCCGATATCGTTGACGCCGCAGGCCTCCAGGCCCATGCCCTGGGGCACGCCGCGCTCGTCGTAGCAGACGTCCACTTTGCGGCCGCCGCACGCGCCCGCCACCATCGCGCCGTGCCGCGGTGACAGCTGCTGCAGGCTGGTGGAGGGCCGCAGGCCCGGGTTTCCGTAGATCTCGGGCGGCGTCTCGCCGCTGAGCAGGTTCATGCTGTAGCCGAGGTTGAATCGGGAGTCCCTCCCGCCAGGTGGCTCCATGTCGCACCACAGTTTGGCAACGTAACAACAACACGCGGCGCACTAAGAGTGTATACACCGCGGGTACACACAAACACAGCTGTGGACACAATACGGAGCTGAACTGACCGCGCCGCCCAGCGCGCTCAGGCGGCCAATGCTCGCACTACGGGGCGCGCAGTCGCCTTAATTAGGATGGTGGGCACGGGGCAGGAGCGGACTGGGAAAGGAAGCGGCCCGGAATTTAGGAGCCAGGTTTTCCTTACGGGGTCATTCAAGATGAAAAGATCAAATTTGAATGAAAAAGTGCGTCGCTTGCTTTTTGCATTTGATGCAAAAATTAAATATTTCCTGAACGTTGACATTTTCATTTTTTGTCAACAGGAAGAAAGTGGTAGGCTACTTTCGAAAACTTGCATTATTGAAAAATTTTTTCTGAAAAAAAATTGTAGTCAAGGAACTTAACATACCGTCATATTTTGTATTCTATGGGTATTGAATGCCTGAAAAAATTCAACTCTCAAATTATTAGTAATCAATAAATTCATGGATTGTACAAATAAAATACTACATTATTATTACATTTTTAGTGGGATCTTCTTGAAATTTCGGCTACACTTAAAAATACTCACTCTGTATTTTCTGTAATTTTTTTAAACTTTAAACTTGATTTGTTTTCAAGATGCAAGGCTAACTTGATTTTTTTTTAATAGCACCGCAAAGGGGAAAAATATCATCTGTACAAAATTCATTTACTACAAGAATTGGGTGAGGATCACTTTGACCGCAGAATCGAATTTTGCGAAATAATGGTAGACAGACGAGATCAGGATGGCAACTTCATAAACCAGTTATTATTTTCTAATGAGTCTACTTTTTGTTTGAATGGGCATGTTAATCGCCATAACTGTATACACGGGTCCAATACAAATCCACACTGGATGAAGACAGTAGCCCCAACAAATTAATTAACGTTTGGAGCGGCATTATTGGTCGCCCCACATTGTAGACCCCTCCTTCATTAAGGGAAATTTAACGTTTGGTAAATACCTCCAACTTCTGCAACAAAGTATTATTCCTCGAATTAGACAAATATTTCCCAACTATAAAAACCCAAATTTACTTGCAAAGTCAATTTGGTTCCAACAAAATAGAGCACCACCTCACTTCGGACGTCAAGTGCAGCATTACTTTACCGGTTTAACACCACTTGACTTTTTTCTGTGAGATTACGTAAAAAATCGAGTTTATGTTATTGCCAGGAAGTAAATGAAGAACATTTCGAACATGTGTTGTAAAACTATTGTTTTTTAAATGTTAATTTGATCTTTTTTCAATTATGTAATTTTTATTTAAATTTTTCAAAAAGCTTCCATAACAATGTATTCACTATTTACAGTCATTAAATCGGAGTATTATTATTTTTTGAATATTTTGTAAATTATTTGGAAACAGCATTTAAATCAATCTGTTACGTTGACACCTTTATTTCAGTTTATGTACCCTCAGAACTATCATATTTACAATGATTGGGCACTAGTATAATTTTTGAATAAAGTGTCCCTATACCGTGCCAAGATTGTAGAAAAAATTCCAGCCCATACCAGGAAAGTATAAAAATGGCCCAACTTCAGACTCGCAATGATTGGAAGTAAAACAGTAAAAAAAAGTTGATCGAAGGTTATGTAGACAGAAAATCCCTCACCCTTAGAGTATAGTCCGACAAATGCGCTCTTTTAAAAAGTAATAAAATTTGGTTGTGCGATTCTCATTTTGTGATAACCTTTATACAGTAAAAATTCCAAGAGGGATACTTCATCTTGTCCGCACAAGTCTGGACAATGTGAAATATATTTAAAGTAAAAATAACCAACGGGAAAAAATCTAGATATTTTCATTTTTCAATACATGTTTAATTTTGACACTTTAATGTTTATGTTTGTATTTCGAGAAATTTTGACTATTAGCACTTTTAGTTTACAAGCAGCAGCGGTTAAAAGAAAAGAAAATTTGTCCAATTTTGTCTCGTCAACACAGAGAAGTGTGACTGATTATTTAATTAACCATATACAATTTTTTTCCCAAAAATACTTACAAATTTGGGGAAGATATTTCTTCGACAATACCCACTATAAGATGACGGACAAATTTTCTCTTTTCATTAACGTTGTATGATGTTGAAGATTTCACATCATTCGTTTTTGCAACCTTAAAGTTAAATGAGAAAGTATTGGTTATATAATTTTAATTTTTTCCCAAGAACCTTGATGCCTTGATTCCAAGGGTAAAAACTCAACACGGATTCATAAAACACACATACAGGATTTTTTTGAATTTTATTTTTATACAATTTAAAGAACATTCGGTAAAATTATAAAATGACGTCATCAATTTTCAGGGAGGCATAAACGAAAAATTTTTAATTAACGATTTAAACTATACTTTGGATAACCTTAAAAGGTTTGCAATTTTTCGGAACATTCACTTTCGCAATTTCAGAATTAAATTATTAAACAATGTGATATAATTCTGTTTTTTCCCAAAAATCTGGATGTTTAAGGAAAACTCGACACGGATTCATAAATCACACATGCAGGAGTATGTACTTCTATAAAATTTGAAGAATATTTATTTGGCAAAATTGTAAAATGACGTCATCACTTTTTTGGTGAGGCATAAACCAAAAAATGTGGATTAACGATTTATCATGCTTACGATAAAGTTGATTCAGAGCATTCGGTTTTGCATTTTTAAAGTGAAATTACAAAATTTTGTTATACAATTTTGATTTTCTTCCAAAATTTGGATGTCTAGGGCAAAAAAGTCAACACGGATTCATAAACCACAAGTTCCGGAATATCTTATAAAATTTGACAACAATCGGTCCAGTTGATTCGGAGATGTCCAATGAAAATCGACACAGACGCCAAACAGACAGACAGACGGAAACGGGAGACCAATTTTTTTGTACTCTAGGGGTCATGAAACGTCGATAAAATATATAAATAGCAGTCATCCAATGGACTCTATAACAACACTGCCTTACCTTACACTAAAAAAAAAACATCCTCAATGGTTTTATCCGCATTGGTTTACAGAGCGCATTTCCATGGCAGTTTTCTTGTTGTTTTCGCAAAAATCCGAAAAGGGGTCAATTTTTTAGTTTCGGGGTTACATTCTGATATAGATTTGACCTTATAACGTTTCCCTCTTGGCCCTGATGGACCCGTCATCTTTTGGAAGATATTTTGATGCTTTACATTACAACGAGCGGTCAAAAAAACCCTTCTTCTAGTTGATTCTCGAATGTTAGCTGTCACATCTGTCATTTGGATTTCCGTATTTCGTTCAGTTGTTTATGCTTCTTCTTTTTTACGGTATTCTTCATTTTATATCTTCGTAAGTGCAAAGTTGACCTGACTTAACTTATCTCCAAAATTTACAATAGTAAATGTTATTTAAATTTTATAAAATAACATATTCCAGATTTTTCGAACAATAAGCAAAATTTTTTAACGACATTTTATAATTTAACTTTGAAATTGCAAAACCGAATGCTTTGAAATATTGCCAACGTTTTACGGCTATCATGAGCATAGTAAATTGTAAATCAAAATTTATCAAAAAAAAAACTTGACATCTTCTGAAAATTTTAGGGAATAAATCTAAAATATGCAAATATTAATAGTATATACTTGTGGTTTATCAATGAATTTTTTAGAATTGCCAACACAAGGTGACATGTTTTTTTTTCCATTCCATTTTCCCAAAAATTTGAGGGTATTGTACTGTTATCAACAGTATTATACTGCACTTATTTAAACTGATATACCTACGTCTCGTTGCTTAAATGTTGATGACGTCATCAAAAAAAATTTATATGAAAAAACTCACTAGAAACATACAATCTACACGGGGTATGATTATGAAACATCCATAAAACATTAAAGTAGCCAAGCGAATTCTATTACAATACGTTTGTAACTTACGCTCCGAATGTAAACATACAACTTTGTTATATAAGTTAAACGGAACACTCTATATGTTTGAAAATACTTATAGAAGTTATAGCTCTATCAGATTGCGTTGATTAATTTTCTTTACAGGTTACAGCGAATGTTTACCTAAGTTTCCGCCCTTTGACCGTTGGAATCTAATTTACATGAGTATCTTGGCAGAAATGGTGAAACAATTTGAATTCGGTGTTGTATTATTGACTGTTTAAAATTAAAATATTTTCGAAAGACGTATTTAGATCGAGTTTTCAAATTTGTTTTTGGGGAATTCTATCCGAAAATTTGTTCTGCTAGTGAATAACGTTGCAGTATTTGAATCCAGGTTCATTTAGTGCGCGATGCACCGATGAATAAAAACTGTGGAAAAAATGTCTGATGTGGGTATCAGCGATAATTTTTTATTCGTGTTTCGTGTTACGCAGAGGAGTTCCGTCGGTTTCGACTTTATTGAGGGCGTGTGCGTTCAATCTGTAAATTAGTTTATTTAAAAGTGCGTTATTTTTGTTAAACATAATTTGGTTTCGGGCTTAAAGTGAACGGTGACCGTTGTGATGTGCCCATGAGGAAGAAGTCTGCAAGGATTGCCACGGAAAGAAAGGAAATCCGGATTTAAAGGGTAAGTGTTGCTTGCTATTAGGCTTTATATATGGATATATTATTCAATGTATTGTGCTTCATTTCTTCACTCCTTTTATTCTAAATTGATATAAAAATATGGATGTTAATAGAGAAGTAAATAGCTGTATTGTAGAAATCGTTACTTAACGACTTAATAAATATGTTTGTTTCATTAAAAAGTCAAACGTTAAAACCTCGTCAGCTATTTCTTTTTTTAAACTGGCCTTTTCGGCTGATATAATTTGGAATATCTAACAGATTTTTATCAATGTTCATTTTATTATTTAAAAATTGAATCTAATGTTGATTTTTACGCAGTTAATAATATTAGGTATTCATTGCAATTATTGTCGTTATTGTTTTGTGAAACATTTAAATTTCAGAAAAGTTTTGAAAACATTTTTCTATTTGGGACATACCTACATACTACAACTAAAAGTTCACTAAATCAGCAAAACGTTTCAGACAATTCTTTTAAATAAAAACAGTGGTCTTCAATATTTGAGTTTATTGGGAAGTTTTTATTCAAGTTTCAATAAAATTAGCTTTAGAATGTTCTTAATTACTAAACTTATTAGTGTAGCAGGGTTATTTTTATTAACTTTCATTTCTGGTTTTCTCGACATTCCCCAGTTTATGGAGTGAAAATATCCGTTTGTTAGTGAATTTTTAGGCAAATATTCTCGGAGACACTTTTTTGGAGTATTTTGAGTCTATTATATATAGATTTTTTTCTTTTCATCTCCACCAAGAATAGCGTGATGTAAATGTAAAATATTGCTTATTGTGATTTCTAAACTTTTTCTGATTAATATTTTTTAAATCTTACCTGTATATTAAATCTGCATAATGTTGAATTGCACTCTTATTAAAAATTAATATGTATAAAATTGATGTTATTTTCTACCCTATTTCCTATTTTTCTTTGTGTAGACAAAAATTTCATGTGTTTTTTGTTGCAGTGGGTTCGTAAATAAAGATGAGGGGATTCGCTAAACTGTAGCAGAAGAAGAAGCCTAAAGGTTAGAATTTTGCATTAATTTTAAATTGGGTGATCTTTTGTTAACATTTTTTTATCTTTTATAAGGGCTACTTTTCGATAATTTTATCTTATTATTATGAGAAGAAAATGACGTGTTATACAGTTTTTTCCCTAAGAATATTTAAAGTATATATTATTAATTGTTTATAAACTGTTTTATTTAGTGTTTGATTCTGTTCACAATCTATTTTAAACATTTCATTTTAAACTATACGTAAAAGAATTTTCGCCGGTTTTCCACCGGCCGACGAATAGCTGGCTGGTCTAACTGCCAGTAGAGTTGCGTATCAACAATACAGTCTCATTTTAACCTCTATTTTTAGAATGACATGTAGGGATAAAGTTATTGAAATTTCGGTCTTTTACGTGATCAGTTTTCTCTCATGTATGCAAAAATTTATAATTGAATACTAAACAAGAATTTTTTTCGTAGTAAATATTATCGGATTCTTTTTATTTTACTCCCCCCCCCCCCCATATAATAAAACAACAAATACTAAACTCACGGGTCTCTATTTTGGCAAAATATTCTATAACGTTATCAAAATTTACTTTCCTCTGTTTTTCAATTGATAAAATGGAAAGATTGTTTAGTCGAGCTTAGCTCATTGTGGACCTTAAGCACGATTTTATCAATTTCAATTGTGAAAAGCCTCTTTCACATGAAGCCACCGAAATAAATGGTTAAAAAAATTTTAGACAAACGCGCTAGACTCGGAACAAACTCCGAATATCCTCATTTTACGATGAATCTTAAAAGCACCAACATAATCCACTGAACCGCTTCTGGAAGAAATGCTGGCGGCTTTCAAGTGGCGCCTCAATCGTAAAATTTTCAAAATTAATCCATGACGTATTTTTGATGACGTTAGCAGTAACTCTGATGTTCCACTTTTGCCGTATTTAAAGGGGTTCGGGTTGTAGAGAAAAGTGGAGGATTTAAGATGATTACTACAAAAATTTACCGTTTTAAACATGTTTCAAGTTTCTTGTTGTCGAAATAAGTTAACACATACTAAGAAAAAAAGGCCCCGCCCACCCGCCCTGTCTCAATTGTGATAATTTTTTTATTGGTAGTGACCCAAGGGGACGGAGGTTAACTGCAAAATCCTTATTTCTCTACGAGAAATTAAAAACATGTTTCTGAGTATCGTGTTGTTTAAAGAATACTATGTATGTCAAGAAAAAAATAAAGACGAAAATTATGCCCCACCCATACCCACCCCGATATCAATTCTCAATTGTGATAAATTTTTCATTCGTTGTCAGATCGAGGGGCGGGGCTTAATTGTAAGATCGATATTTGTCTACAAGAATTTACCATTTTAAACATGTTTTGAGTTTCTTGTTCTGAAAAGACAACTACGTATATTAAGAAAAAAGGCAAAATATATGTCCCGCCCACCAGCCTTCTCTCAATTGTAATGATTTTTTTATGATCGTCGAGACCCAAAGGAGCGGAATTTAAAAAATCATCAGAATTGAGATGGGGTGGGTGGACGGAGTTTATATTTTGCCTTTTTGTTTTAATATGTGTAGATTTCTTTTCACAACATGAAACTTAAAACATGTTTAAAATGAAAAATTTATATAAAGAAATATCGATTTTCCAATTACGCTCCGTCCCATAATTGCTAAACCTATGTATATTTCCTTGCATAAACCATTTTAACCATGTTTTAAGTTTCTTGTTATGAAAAGGTGGTTATGTATATTAAGAAAAAAAGGCAAAATATTAGGAAGTATTGTAATGAAGTTTGTCAGCCGACTCTCTACTTTTACATTTTCTTGACCTTTCATGACCCCTAGAGTACGAAGAAATGTGTCTCACGTTTACGTCTGTCTGCCTGTCTGTCTGCCGTTCCCTGGTTTGTGTGAGTGAGTTGTCGTTGTCACCCCTTCGTGCTTGATACCCATCGCCCCCTCTTTACGCCGCCACTGCCGACCTGCTGTACTGTGTCAAGATAGATTCGTTTTGGAATTAAACATTACAGAATTTTTTTGTCCTTGATTTATTTCATTTTTGTTTCCACATTTTCTGGCGTTCAAATTTTAACATTCTGTGTTTAATTAAAATTCTCATTTCATAAATAAAATAAATAAGATATATCTAATATTAAGAAATATTTTTTCAGTTAATAAGTTAACTGAAGGGATTTTATTACCCACCCCTGAAGTACAATAAAACATTTCTAACTTTTGCGAAAACTTATAAAATTTGATTCTCCAATTTTATTTTTTTTTATAGGAACTGCGTATATGTTTCAAATGAGTTTTTCCATTATAAAAGTTTGTGCTGATATTCTCAACATTTTTGCAAGAACACATATATCAATTTGGATCGATGACCAATCAAATTTTGGTTAGTGTTACTGACTTACGCTCGAAAAGTAATAACTACATAAATGTAGAAAAAAGAACAACCGAAAGTAATAAACAATGAGCTTTTAACACATCTATACTGTTCTAATTGGTAATAAATGATTTATATCAAATAATTAGTTCGAATAAATTAATGTCTCATTAATACGATTAATTTGCCAAATAATTAAAAAATAATGAAGTGCACATCGCCAGAAATGGTTAAAGGTGATGCATTATAAATAATGAACTACAATTAATAGATAATTGTTGAATAGTTAGTGGTGATTACTTGGTTTTACTGCAGTATTATTAAGGTCGAAATGCCGATTTGCCACAAACCCATTTTATTTATTTATTTATTTATTTATTATGACTTTATTTCAAAACTCGCCGAATATAGAGACGTAGATTCCCCTTATACATGATCTAGGTGTCTATCCTGACGCTTTAAACAGTGACCATTGATCCTTCTAATATAGTGTCCAGCTAGATCACCGGATTTAGGACCATTAGAATTATATTTGTGAGATTATTTTGATTTGGACTATATCATAGAAAAACACCAATACGAAAAAAAGTCCGTTCAACAACGGCTAAGACAATTCACAACGTACAATGTACAGCAAAAGTGTTTTTTTTTTTTTTTTGTTTATGTCATTGTCAAGTTGTTCATGGTCATCAATTCATTATTTAGTACAGTGATTTTATTTAATGACATTATAAATATTTTTCCGACAAATTAATTTTACCTTTTACGTGAATAACGTGTGAAAAATCCGGTTTCTTCTATTTTCCTTTCCTTAATTAATTAAAAAAAAAAACGAAATTTTTATATTTTTGTTTTGTTGTTGTATTATTAGTGTGGCCTCTACTAAATTTTGTAATAAATATACTTTCGGAATGACGTTAACAACTGAAATGTCAGCATCGCTGCTGCAACGTAGCCCGGGTAAAACCTATTCCAGGTTCTGGTCGAATTAATTATTAAATTGTATGTCTGTATTTGATATGTAATATGCAAATAAGATAGACTCACGAAAAACATCTTCGAGTTGGTGCTCTATGCTCAAGCTATCTTTGTCACCGTCCACTACTCACAACAACGAACGACAAAGACAGCTAATGATTCTGCGCAAGCACAGGACCATTTCAGTTGATTGTGCTTTTTGAAACTGAATAATTTATTTTCAGTTTTTCCTACCTTTGCACTTTGTTACTATTCAGCACATTGTAGAATAATTTATAAAGAATTAAATTCCTGGAAATTAGTTACGACTGGATTATTATGTTGTATTACACAAGAGGTAACGTTTAGAACCGGTCGTTAAAAACCAAACCGCGTCAGATAATCGCTATCACTGTGTCTTATCGTTTGATCAAACTCGACGAACTTGACATAAACTTATTTAAGGTCGACATAAAATAATCAGTGCAGTACTTATTGTGAAGTCGTGCCAAAGTCCCAAATTGTGCTCAACCATGCCCTTCAAGTGTATAGAATCCGAAAAACTCTACTCGAAAGACCCAAAATTAACACAACAAGATGTAGATATTATTAAAGAATGGATGAAGAAACAGCCGCACTTACCAGATGTGGAAGGTACGTTTTTTCTTTGTTAATATTGGAGAAGAGTGAATTAATTTTTACAGATACTCAAATCCTTCTATTCCTTCATAGTTGTTATTATCAAGTGGAGGCAACTAAAACTACAATAGACAATTATTTTACCGTGCGAAACCTTTGTCCTGAGATATTTATAGCGCTTAAACCAGACGTCTTAAAATTTACCTCATCAGTAGGGTACATGGGTACAATAATAAATAGACAACCTTTTATAGAGCAAATTGTAGGTTTATTACTATTCTACCGCAAAAAACTCCTGATGGTTGTATTGTGCTTATGGCCAAACTGCTGGATGCAAAAACGGACAATTTCAACTGCCCAAACCTTATCAATCTTATTTATATGGTGTGTATGCTACATTTCCACCAGCATGGGACTGATCAAGGTATCGTTGCCCTTTTTGACATGAAGGGATTTACTTTGGGTCATTTGACAAAACTGCAGCTAAACCCCATTAAACATGCTCTCTGCCTTGTTCAAGTAAGTAGGAAATATCAATAGTTGGTTCTGTTATTTTCTAAGCAACTCGTGTAATCAGGAAGGAGCCCCTGTCAGAATCAAAGGGATACATGTCATGAACGCCAATTCACTGATTGATAAAGTTATAGCTTTAATTAAACCGTTTTTGAAAAGCGAAATTTACAATATGGTATGACCAGAATTTAATGTATGGTTTGTTGTTTCTACCACATAAATATTTTCAGTTGCAATTCCACCCTCCTAACTCTGACACCCTGTACAAAAGTGTACCACTAGAGTGTTTACCGAAAGAGTATGGTGGCTCACAACCCTCCAGTGAAGTCCTGAACGGTTAGTACTTTGATGAGCAGTTCAGGTTTACTTTTTCTGGGGTTTTAGAGCAAACTGTGAAGAATATTTCGGACAACTATGGCTTTTATAATTGGCACGATGGACAGAAAATCGATGAGACTAAGCGAGTGGGGAAATCGAAATTGGTGAATGACGTTTTTGGAGTTGAGGGCACATTTAAGAAACTGGAGCTTGACTGATAAAAATTGCATTATTTTAGTTGAGTAGGTGCTGTTAGTTAAAATGATATCAGATTTATTGAATGTTGTATAGTTGTTATTATTGGATTTAAAATAAATTTATCATTTTTTTATCGTAAGAAATGTGGCGTGTTTATTTATCTATTGTGTAACACCTGCAGAGTCAACAAAGCAATCTAGAGAATGGTAATAAAATGCTGATATTTTGCAATAAATTGGGTAACAACAACCTATTTTTGTGTTTTTATTTTAAAGTATTATAATGGGGTCATTTTGACAAAAATGTACTAAACATAATTAAATTAAATACGTCATGGTATCTCGAAATATTTACAGGTTTTGTTGACTTTACTGTTTCGTTTGACAGCGTTGTTAGGGATATTTAGGTAATGTAAAAATATTTAAAGGCATCTCAAGATCTATTCAGAATGATATTGCTGATGCTCTTCAGAGTGACGTTTGTAAATACATTAAAAATGAAGTGGAAAATATAGATCGTTTATCTATAGATAGATAGTATAAGATTTTATGTCATGTCATTACTTGGACATCATGCTGTGTTATCAAATTGATGAATTAACTGATGAATGATTTTGAGAATTTTTGAATTTACAGGATCGTTCTTCAGCAAAATTTTAGCGTTTCCTGGTTGATTTTTGCACACTTCATGTGTAATAATCTAAGTTCCGAAGGTACAAAAACACTTAAGTATAAACATGAAAGTACCGACTTTTTGTTGTTATTGGTACACAAATCTGTGTTTATGCAGATGAAGCAACTTTTTTTAAATATAATTCGACAAAGGCGACAAGTGGTTTTTGGTCCTGTTTCGTACAGGAAGTATAGTCTTGTTCATTTTTCTGCTTCCAATTAAACTTGTTTATTGCAATTAAATTGTTTTGAATACAATATTGTTTGTGGGACAAAAAAGTGTACATTTTTCAGTTGTTTTAGTTACAGTTGTCTTCCTGCACTACCTAAAGACTTTCGAAAGTACCGGCAAAAAAGCAAGTATTTTTGAAAGATCAGAGAATAATTATTATAATTATATGTTCCCTGTATTCGCCGAATTTGACAGAATAAAGGAATCAGAAAAAACAAGAAAGAACAGCTGGTGAAAATTTTTACATTTTAAAAAAATATTGAAAAAAAATTATGTCACCCAATAAGCTTGGAAGAAAAATAAAGCTTGATATTGGAACTAGCCATTACCGAAACATTAAAAAAAAAATTGGTCGAAAGATATTTCGGCAAAACTTCCTTCGCTTCTGAAGTACAGTCCAACTGCTTCTCTGAAAAATTATAAAATTTGATTTTGCGGAATTTTACTTTTTCGTGATAACCTCTATGAGAAGGTACTAGTCACAGTGTAATAGAAAGAAGATTTCACCTTCTTAAAGAAAGACAGCCGGGAGCCTCTAGAAGGTTTAATATTCTTAAAAAAAAGAAACTTGGGGCCAGCGCGAAGATTTAGCCTTCTTTAAAAAAGGACAATTGGGGCCTCCGAGAAGGTTCCACATTCTTAAAAAAAGTCAGTTGGGCACCCGGAAAGGTTTCACATTAAAAAAAAATTGGTGTCCCCGAGAAGGTTTTACATTTTTAAATAATGAGGGGCGTATTCTCAAAATTTGACAACAATCGGTCCAGCAGTTTCGGAGATTATGTGTCTAATAAAAATGGATACAGACACCAGACAGACTGACAGACAGACAGATAGACGGAAACAGGAGACCACTTTTTTCATATTCTCGGGGTCATGAAACGTCGAGAAAATATAAAAGCGTCCATTCGTCCGATGGAGTAATAACGAAAAAAAACACAAAATAGGAGTTGTTAATAATCCTAGAAACGACCAAAACTCTAAAAAAAAATTAAAACAGAAACCTGGCGAAAAAATACCGCAAAGAAAGTTAAAAGAAAACAGCCACGAACGAAACAACAACAGAAAAATGTGATATGATTATAAGAATTTACAAACTTTGAAAAATAATTATTTTTCTTAAAAAATTTAAAGTCAATTTTTATTACATCCGTTGTTTACTTAGATTTGAAATCAATTTTTGTAATTTTTGACAAATACTAAAAAATACTAGAAAATTTTATTGTTCAGAAAAGTGCCTTAAAATCTATAGTACCGCAGGAAAAATTCAAACAAAACCATTGAAAGTAGAATTATTTGAGATTTGACATTTTGTAGATTTTTTTAATTCCCAAGCATAAACAAACAAAGTATTGTAGTAGGGTCGAATCAGTGGAAGGCTACTTTCATGTTATGTCGACATTTGATGACCTCTAGAGTATGAATAAATTTGTCTCCCATTTTCATCTGTCTGGTTGACGACATCTATCGTCTGTCGTCTGTAGTTATGTCCTCTGTTGATTATACAGACAATTGTCGAAACATCAGACTGATTATAATATACTCGTACTCTAGAGATTCTAGAAATTACATATATTCCAAATATTCGAATATTCTTAAAGATTGTGAATAATTTAGAGATTCTAGAAATTGTAAAATTTTTGGAGTCTAACGGTTTTGATAGTTCTAAACATTCTGAAGATTCGAAAGATTCGAAAGGTTCTAAAAATTTCAGAAATTCAAGAAATTCCAAAAATCCTACAGATTCTAAAAACTCTAGAGGTTTTAGATATTCTCGAGATTCGGAAGATTCTAAAAATTCAAAAAAATCCGAAGAATTCAGAGATTTGGATTCTTTTGGAGATTCTAAAGATTTTGGAAATTCTTAAGGTTCGAGAAATTCGCGAAATTCTAAATATTTTAGAGATTCTGGAAATGTTACAGATTTTAAAGATTCTGTAGGTTCTAGAGGTAGAAATTCTCAAGAGGTTCTGAAGATTCTGGAGGTGCTAAATATTGTAGAAATTGTAAAGATTTCAAGAAATCCAAACTACAAGTTCTACAAGTTTTAGAGATTCTACAGGTCCTGAAGATTTTGGAGATGCTACAGATTTTGGAGATTCTAAGAGATAGTAGTTTTTACAAACTTTAGAATCTTAAGAAACTTTAGCATCTCCAAAATCTTTAGAACCTTTAGAAAACCCAGAATCTTAAGAATCCTTACAATTTCTTGAATCGTTAGACTCTAAAACTTTTGGAATTTTTGAAATGTTTAGAATTTATAGAATCTTTAGAATCTCCCGATTCTTAAGAATCTCTAAAACTTGTAGAATTCCTAGAATCTTTACGATTTCTAAAATATTTAACATCCCTGGAATCTCTAGAACGTCTAAAATCTCTAGAATGTTTAAAACCTGGAGACATTTAAAATCTTCAAAATTTTTAAAAGTATTTCGAATGTTCCAAATATTCCCAAAACTGGTCTAAACATTCGAAAGATTCCAGAGATTTCGAAGATTCTAGTAATTCTAGCAATTGTAGAGTATTCTAAGATTTTAAATATAGTAGAAACTTTGGAGTCTAGCGATTCCAGCTATTCTAGAGATTCTAAAAATTCTAGATACTCTAAAGATTGTAAGGACTTTGGATTCTAGACATTCTAGGAATTCCAGATATTCCAAATATTCAAGTATTCCTAGATATTGTTGAGAATTTAGAGATTCTAGAGATTGTAAAAATTTTAGAGTCTAACGGTTTCAGCAGTCATAGACATTCTGAAGATTCGAAAGATTCTAGAGACTCTAAAAATTTCAGAAATTCAAGAAATTCCAAAAATCCTAAAGATTCTAAAAATTCTAGAGGTTTTAGATATTCTCGAGATTCGGAAGATTCTAAGAATTCAAAAAAATCCGAGGAATTCAGAGATTTGGATTCTTTTGAAGATTCTAAAGATTTTGGAAATTCTTAAGGTTCGAGAAATTCGCAAAATTCTAAACATTCCAGAGATTCTGGAAATGTTAAAGATTTGAAAGATTCTAGAGTTCTAGAGGTAGAAATTCTCTAGAGGTTCTGAAGATTCTAGAGGTGCTAAATATTCTAGAGGTTCTAAAGATTTCGAGAAATCCAAAGTTTTAGAGTCTAGTGATTTCAGCAATTCTAGAGATTCTAGAGGTTTTAGAAATTCTAAAAAATAGTAGTTTTCAGAAAATTAAGAATCGGCAGAATCTTTAGCATCTCCAGAATCTCTAGAATCTCTAAAATTTAGAATCTTTAGAACCTTTAGAAAAATCAGAACCTTAAGAATCTTTACAATTTCTGGAATCGCTAGATTCTAAAACTTATGGAATTTTTGAAATGTTTAGAATGAATAGAATGTTCAGAATCTTCTGATTCTCAAGAATCTCTAAAACCTGTAGAATTCCTAGAATCTTTAGAATCTCTAGAATTGCGGGAACCGCTATACTTTAGAGCTGTGAATTCCAGAGATTTCGAAGATTCTAGTAATTCTGGAGATTGTAGACAATCTAGACGCTCTAAATATGGCACAAGTTTGAGAGTCTAGCGGTTCCATCCATTCTAGAGATTCTACAGATTCTGAACATTCTAGTAATTCTAGAGATTGTAGAGTATTTAGAGATTTTAAATATAGTACAAACTTTGGGGCCTAGCAGTTCCAGCTATTCTAGAGATTCTAAAATTTCTAGATACTCTAAAGTAAAACTTATGTGTTTAAGATCGGTGCAGCTTTTTTCAAATATAACTAAATTCGTATCTGGTTTAATTTTCCTTTCATGCGTATTAAGTGAAATTTAGCCAGTCGGTTGTAGAAAAAATATTTTCACATGCAAATATAAAATTTACTTTTTCTCTAGTTTGAGGTGATAAATAACATTCCGCTAAATCTGTATCTTAGACAAAATAACAAAGCAAATTATAAAACACGATAATATTAATTCGAAATTGTATTTATTAGCAAAATTTATATTATAAAACTGGCTCTTAATTACGTGTAAAATTTGCAGTCAAAAGTGGCTAATACTAATTACTGACAGTAACAAAATAATCTATTACTTATGATATTTAAGAGCTTCAGAATAAAAAAATATGTCTTGTCGATCATATTAATATTTTCCTTGAAAGCAAATTTCGTTTTTAATGGAAACAGGTATCAACAAGATATCATTAGGTAAAATTTTTAGTGGAAGTAAATCGCACTGTAATTTCTTACGGCAACATCGAAATTCGTTAGGTTAATACTGCACGT